GAAAATCGCTAGCTCGAGAACCAAGAAAGCTGGGAGGCTGAAACTTTCAGGAAATGTTCCCAACTCTTCTACAACTTAAATTTATCAAAGTCGGCCCTCATTATGCGTGGTTGCCACGTACGGCCTCGTGAAATTTTCTGACTGGGATTTGGGTAACTCGGGAACTGCGAAAGGTGGGAACCTGAAATTTCGAGAGAATGTTCCCTGTCAAAGTATAGCGTGGATAATTAACTTTCCGAAATTCGAGGACCAGTATGTACAAGAAGTTTCTAGCTAGTGGAATTTCGAGTGATCTTATTGCAGCACGAAACACTGCAAAAACGCATGGTCGCACGGGGCCGCCCCGTGCGCGTCCCCAATGATTTTACTCATTGCAACTGGTTAACGCTTCACTAACGAGAAGCCATTAATGTCTGAAACGGCAATTAATAGAGGAATGCTAAGCCCACGCACGTAATATAAAAGAACTTATTCTTGGTTGTTTTAATTCTTTTTAGAGAAAAATCTCTAATATGAACGAAAAATGTCAAATTATTTTCCGAAAATAAAAATCTGTTATTTGCTTTCATAGGTGTAAAGCTTTCTTTCCTCACTAGCTGTTCAGCATTTGGTATAATCCAGTTATGTTCGTACTTGTACATCTCTGTAATTTTAAGCCACTAACAGCTTTTTGAAATAACAGCAGTTAACAGCTTATATCTCTACTTGTCAACTTCTTAAACAAAAAAAATGGTTTTGTTCAGCAAGTAAGGTTAGTCTACTTAATCGCTAGAATTTACTGGACGGCGCGGAAGCCGAAAGCAATCGTGCTTTGTCAAATGAGCCGCTTAAAAGATATCGAAAGAGAGACTGAGTAGAGATACTTGTTTTTCGTCCACTGATAACGGATAAAAAGCCTAAAGCGATGTCGATTGCAGCCGGCTGAGGATGAGCTCCAAATATCATTTGTTTTGATAAGCATTTTCTTTGCTAACCATCCGGAAAATCTGAACAAGACTGATTCCAAATATTGCTAACTGACCATCCAGTTCTGGCTGCAGTTGACGCTCCTTTCATCATTTACTCAAGTTGTTAGAGCATGAAGTGCTCGATGTGGATGGTCCCTCCTGTCTCGGGAAGCTTGAGCAGCAGCAGTGGTGGCTCAAAGTTTGTGTTTTAGAGGGCTACTGGTATCGGCCGGCGGGGAGGATGGCGTTGTAGCCGCGACGAATGCCCAAAAAATGCTGCTATCGAGATCGAGTCTCGATGAACGCTCTCTGTTGCTTGGCTCACCGCTTCTTGACAGCTCACAGGTTCGCTTTATAACTTCAATTAACGTTAAAACGTCACGTTACTCGTTATTATTTAACTCCGTGTTTTGTCGTGCTGGCGCAACGTGTTTTGTAAGGGTGCAGGAGTGCTCGCATCTTACGCCTGTAACATAGAGTTCTTAGAGTCGTACATATGACTGCTTATGAGTAACAATGGGAGCTTCTTCGAGGTGGTATAGGGGATCTTTGCGGCTAATGTATTCAAGCAGCTAACTGCCAAGATGTTAATCAAAAGAAATTAGCTTTGCACTGACAGCTTTAATTTTTATGGACAAAATAATTATTTCGTTTTGCAAAAACCTTAATTTTTAAACTTTTTTAACTTTGGAAAATTAGTCATACATATGTATACATAGATGAAAAATTAAACAAATGAGTATAATGAATAGTGCCAGGAGCATCTGTACATTCAGTGTTAGGTTTCCATGTTGGTGGTTTTACTGGCATGCTCCTATACGCTGAGCGTAGCTGTACCACACTCAAGAACCCAGAGCAGATAATCGGTTTAAATGTCGCTGCATTCTTGATCCCTGAGATTGGACGCATGCTTATTTCGAGATTCTTGAGATTGGACGCATGCTTATACTAAAATTGATTGTGTAATAATTTTTAAGTTTTTCACACCTGCACTTTGCAGATAAGTCAAAAATCGTCTTTTAATATGTACCGGGTATGTACACTTAATGTCCTCTAGCTGCTAATCGCGAAAACGTGGTCAAACCGGTTTTCAGTTATTTACTTTGATGTTCTTGCTTCTCTTAATCCAAATATCGATGTTTAGAGTGTGAAGAGAGCGGCAAAGTCGAAAATGTTGAATGGGCGAACTTGGAGAAAGCGGTGTCGTAGTGAGATGTCGGATACCGAAGATGCGCCAACATCGCCGAGCTTGCGAAGTGCCGACTCCAGCAGTAGCTAGTATTTTATTGTTTTTAAAATACCCGTTTTGTAAATATTGCAGATTTATGTGCTAGTAATTCTGTGGTCTCGAAGTTGATTTTTTGGCTTATATCGGAGGATTTGGGGAATTTTTTTTTGCTAAGATATTTGACTTATTTCATCATTCATTTAGTGAAGACGCAATGAATTCACTAGGTAGATGCTTTTCTCGAGCTTTTTTTCAAAAGCGAATCAAAATAGTGGAGAGCACGAAATATTAGAATTAGAGGAAGGGATCAGTCTAGATATCATATATGAGCGCGAGGAGCAGGGAATTTTTGCAGAACGGTTTGCGCCTAGCAGGATGGGGAGAGCGGGGAACGGGGGAGGGACCGGCGGAGAAGGGGAGGAGGAGAAGGGGGGAGAGGGAATCATAAAATTAGACTTAACCATCTAATGGGTGCGCTAAGCTATCTTTTTCTGAACATAGGGAAACGGCTTATTGGCATAAATTTGTACGCAGCTTCGACCATGCCTTTTTTATCCACGTCTTCCATTTTTACGCAACTTGATGCTGTGCTGGTGGAGTCAATTTTTATGCTAAATGCTAAGAAACTTATTAGGCTTAAGCAGTATCACGTATGTCTTTGCAAAGAGTAGTGATATTAGTTAACAATGAGAATTTTTGAAAATATTAAAGGTTGAACCTCGGATTTAGCTTGGAAGTTTCGACCCATTATGCTGTATGTTTCTTAAATAGGCGCCTTAGCTGTACCTTATCAGTACGACAGTTGTTAGCGTAAATTATTATTATAAAACAAATAAAAAAAATACCAGAAATTAATGGAGTAAGAGCAAAACATAGTTGCAGATAAAAGATGGGAATGGAATCGGAGAAAATGTTTCTTGCATTCTGTACTTTTAGGTCTGCGCAGTAAAAAATTGCGGGAGAAGTGCACATTTTTTCCCCTTCGTTTACTGCTGTAAATAA